ACAATGCAGAAAAAAAAAATACAACTTTTCCATTAATATTAATATCCAAACACCTGTTACTTGAATTCTAAATCTCACCTGGCAAAATATAATTTACAAGTGTGTTACTTTTCCTTCCCCTTAATATTTTTATTTGAATTTCATTCCCACTAAGAAACCATCACCATTGGTTCCCAGACAAAAAATGATAATTACCAAAAAATGATAATTACGTACGAAGGACATGAACATGGAGATGAAGCCTAAACAAATTGATTATCAGAACACCACACTTACACCAAACATCATCATGTGAAAATAGAACACAAACCCAACACCCTTCCTTACCCCAATGAACCACCCTGTTCTCACACCTCTAAAATTCATAGTTTTATCACAAAGCAACTTCCAAATTATCCTGGAGTATCACAGAGCCTAACCCTTCACCTCTCATTTCCAGATGTTTATACTCAAACATAACAATATTGAAAAAAATAAAGAAAAAATGAAAGTGTAACATACTTGAGTGCTTCCTCCTGTGAAGGATTATTAAAAAAGGGTCAATCCTTTTAAAAAGCTCTTTACTTTGTTTTTACACTATGGCACATAAAATACATTTTCTTTTCTTAAATATCAGCAACAACTGAACTATCCTAAGTAGTCTACCTATGTTTTAATGCCTCAGAAGTGCCAAATAAAAATAAATATTTCGTTGATCAAGAAATTATGAGATCTCACTTTGTGCAAGTTGCAATAACTGTCCAATTATTATTCCAAAACTCATATTCTTGAAAAGCCAAGATGATTTCATAAAATGGCCTTAACTTTACAAGACAGAAGTGTAGTTGATAGGAAGACAATGGAGTTGAAGATGGGATATCAAATACAAAAAATTTTGTACATACAAAACAAACAACCTTACTTGCTCATTACCAAAGAGCTACAACTCACTCACGACTGAATTTTGCAAAAGAAACTTGTACTGTCTAATTATGAACAATCGACAGTGAAGAGCCAATTTAGTTTCACAATAAATGGCTGAAAGCACTACTTTTTCATTTTGACATCAGACTTAACAATTAATCATTTAAAACAAAAACTTTTCTTTTGTAATTTTCTGACAAAATATCACAATATTCAAATGTGCTATTGAATTTGTTATTATGGTAACATGACAATGTAAACAGCCGAAGGTTTTATTTTTTCAAAAAAATAACTCGCTCAATGAGCATACATCACAAATGACTTGCTGGAATCCCTTAGTACAGAGATGTCCTAAAGCTCACTATTAATATAGAGAGGAAATCAAGCTCTCAAGCTTGTATGTATGTGAACCTGGGAACAGAATCTATATATGAGACTCAGACTCTCTGAACCTTGTTATTCAATAAAATTATAGAGATCATTATAATAATATTTCACAAAACTGCTGTTTAAAACTTGGGGCATAAATATGTAAAATCAATTTTGAGGCTCTACAACTATGGCAATAATAGCATGAAAAAAATAACCCAGTCAGAAGCTGCATTTTATCCAATATAACTGTTTTTCAAAATTTTCAATGGTCAACTTGACTCCAAGATGTATTAACCACTAGAACAGATGCAAAATCATATATCAATCAGTTTAAATGAACTATCAAGTTCCACAAAATAATGGGGAAATGGGTGGTTTATTAACATTTACAATCTGTTAAACAATGTGATGAAAAAAATACAAAAAGTTTTAAATCATCTGCATTTATATATGCCTCTTACCCATTATCAACTTTCATGCTGTTACACCTTTGCCATGACCAAATTTCATGTCTTAGCACATATCCATTAAACTTTTACATACTGAACCTATTACCACAAATACAGTTGACATACTAGAAATAATAGAAACAAAGAGAAACATATGAACATAGAGACATACAAAATTAACAATAACACAGATGTAGACAGACATCTGATCGTTACAATAGGTACATGTAAACAGGTAAGATTTATAGAGGGAGAAAAAAAGAGCTAACAAATGGATAAAAAGACAAACAGAATAGCCTAGCAGAATTTATTGATCTGCAAGCTAAGACTTCCACAATCCCTGTTTGTAAACTGGTTTCTATAACTGACTGCCAAGTCTGTGTGCCACTATCCCTAAACCTCTGATCTTTTAATAAGTGTTGGCCTATATCAGCATTGTCAACAAGCACAACATATTTAGCTCTCAGGGTTCAGAATTGAATTGAAAGATTACAATGTTACCTTGGCATGCTTTCATTATTGCAACATTTGTTTCCTATGGTGCTTTGGGCCACACAGTGACTCTTCGCCCAAAGGCCTTGCCTTAACTGGACTACATGCTTGACTAAAAAAATAATATTGTTAGGTAAATAAATAATTGGACATAATCATAGTAAATAGTATTAATAAAGATCTATTAAATAATTTGGCTTCTTTCACAATAATAAACTTTATTATTGGCACTTTCTTCAGTTTAAAAATAACTGTCTGTCTTAAGAAGTTATCTAAAATCAAAATATATACACATTCAATTTCATTTACCACAGAGAAAGCAAGGAAATATTGACCTATAAGCTAGCTGAAAAATAATTTCTTACAATTTTCCTTTTCAACCAATCACACATAACATTCCTCAGCAGTTTAAAAAGCATTAAAACTTCCCTTCTTAATCTAATTTGGGGAATGCTGGCTAGGGAAGTGTCCCTGGCTGAGCGAAGAAGCAGAAGCCACAGCCGCAGCAGCAGCGGCGGCCTGGCTCCGTAAACTCCGAGACTGTTCCAGGTGCTCTGAGCTCTGACCGCAAGGGCTGGAGGACCTCGGGTGGACATCAGTCAACTGACTGTGCCTGCTGGCAATGTGCAGTCTCATACTGTTCCGCCTCGCACTACGGTGGGGACAAAATGGACACTGGTATCTCTTCTGCCCTGTGTGTGTGTCCATGTGCTTCTTAAGGTCATTAGTCTTGATGCAGGAGTATGGACAAAGGTTACACTTGAGTGGCCTCTCCCCAGTGTGAATCATCACATGCTGCCGTAGGTGGTAGGGGTTCCTCGCCAATAGTCCGCAGTGCCTACACCTAAGCCCCTGCGACGCGTCACACCCCTGGGGAGACAACACGTGTTACTCCACCCTCAGCTTTATGATATACAACCACCGTGGGCAATCAGGTTACAAAGTCGAGATAGGTTGGTTTTCGTGTAACTCGTGTTCATACAACTTCTATTACAGGAAATCAGTACTTCACATTATGAAAAAAAAATTGAGAAATATTTCCCCCAACCAAATGGAAGCTATACTCACACACACAAAAAGAATTATATACAACTGTACAAATATTCACAGCCAGTGTTAAAACATCAAGAGTGGATTTTCCTTTCCCTTAGCCCACTTTCTACAAAGCCATTCTTGTTGATAACTGCACTGCAACAATGTGTTAACCATTATAAAAAAAATAAACAAATGAAAAAATAATAATAATAATAATAATAGAAGAAATTAAAAATATTCCCACCAACTTACCCAACATTCTAAGAAAGCAAACAAACGACCATTTTCCTTCTCTCAAGCTTGCCTAAAACAGGATATGCAATGATAAACAACTAAGATACTGATTTGTTTTATTGAAAAACAAATAATTGCTTTGGCATTCCATTCCATTCCACTAAGAGGATATGCACAGTGTGTAGGACTCCACAAAATGTCTAACAAAGTGTGCCTCAAATCTTGAAATATTTTTACCACAAAATTTATCAGCTGAGAACATCTACTTTTAAGCACTGTAATGTTAAAATATCAAAAGGTTGTTCCACTTTGGATACATTCAACATCCATTATGTTACCATACAACTTAAAATCACATACATCTCACTATATTGCATCTCACTAGATCTGGCTTCATCCAAGATTATTTCAATCTACAAAAACTTCTCTCAGGAACAAGCTGATGATTCCTGTAAGCCAATGCCTTTGCAGAGCTGCCTTCATTTCACTTCACTAGCAGCACACACTGCCCTAGTTCCTCAGAACCCTAAATAAATTCTGCTATCCCATGACACTGGTATTCTAATGCACCTTTAGCACCATGTCCACTGCTGGCTTTTCATTGTGCATCTCCCATGGGCAGCCAGTTCATACTGTGGCGCCGCTGCATGTGGGACTTAACATTCCATTTAAGAAGGCTGCGGAAGGGGCAATATGGACACTTGTGAGGTTTCTCCCCGGTGTGGATGCGCATGTGGCGCTTCAGGTGATCCCGCCGGCTGCTGGCCCGCCCACACACCGGACAACGTAGTTGTCCACCCTCCTCACCCCTAGGCTCACCCATAGGGCCACCAACTGGCTCACACGCCAGCATCCGCCCAGCTTCTTCAAGCTGCAAAGAAACAGCCTCCGTCAGTAGTGTACCTACTTCAGATCCACTTAGTGGGAATCCTTTTTAGTTCTTTAATGCAGACATTCTTCTAGCCCTTCCCTTGACCTCCTCCCTTCCACATTTCTAAGAGCTCCCCCCCACCATTTCCTTCGAAGTTTTGTATTGTTCCATACAATCAGCACACCAGCCGATTTGCAAAAGTAGCTTTGCCTTTTTATAACCCAAAACTCCCCCTCACATTTATAATTAAGTAAATAAACCCATCAAATAACTAATGCCTTGCAATATATACCGTTTTCTTTCTATAAAAATCAATTCAACTTTCATTCCAATCACATGCTATACTGATCATTCACAAATTACTGAAGTATAAATATGTACACATCAGAAACATTCAACTAATATAATATAGATTTTCTATCAATATTCATTTCTCCCTTTCTCCTCCATATATACTTAACTTGTAAACTGCACGAGATATCTCAAAATGCTAAAAGAACAACTACAAATAATATCTCAAGGTGATAGATGTTCCAAGCAGCATTTCAAATATTTCTGCTAAGCCCGGCTAAAATCCAATGAACCTATCTCAAGTAACAATTTTCTCGTTGACACCATCCCACTCAAACAACAAGTTATCAGCTCCCCTTACACTAGCCTCCCAGTCACACTGACCCCACCTCCAAATAAAAACTGTTTCTAGAAATACATTTTTTGGCTGTTTGCTGCACATTTTGCAGTCCTGAAAGTTTAACTGTGCAGTTGCAGGGTTAACCCACTTGCAACAGGTGTCACACATATGAGACACCTGGAGCTTGCGCTCTGATTCTGTCACCTGTGACGCTCAGGTAAGTCCGGGAACCTGCCCGCACGCCAATTTTGAAGCCACCCGGATAAGATTATTTTCGGCTTGAAAATGTACCATCACAAGTGGGTTAATAATCATTCGAGGTCACCTTGAGCTATTTTTAAAATTTTACTTTTAAAGACAACTTTCAAGAACATTCTTTCAAAAAAATTACCTTCACTTTCTTCATTCATATTTAGGAATGAGCATCCTTGACTATGGCAACAGCCTCTTTTCCTCTCTCATTATTTTCCCTAAACTTTCTTCTTCTCAGATTAATTTGTCTACAACCTGCCTGTAATTAGGCTTCTAAGATGTGTGCAAACTTGCTCATGAAATTCAGTATAACTTATCAATCAAATTTTCCAGACATTCATCAATGGAGTAAAGAGCCAAGTTCTTAAAGACTATAAATTTTGATTTCTATGATCCACAAATAACAATTTGCTTGATAGGAATAAACAGGCATTAGCAGATTGACACTAGATGAGCCTGTTCACCAAATTTTTTTTTTTTATCCATACTAGATAAAATGTAAGTGCACTTCATGGCAAGTCTCGTAATGATAACTCGTCATTCTCAGATGTAAATTCCTTCCCTTTGCTCATGTTTCAAAAAGCTAACAAAATAGTTTAACTCCTAAATCATATGCAATTTCATATTAATAGTGATAGTAATGACTACACACAAACTTTTCTTTCCTTTGAAATATCTTTGACAGAATAAAAATATCCCCCCCCCCCCCAACACATCCCGACGTAATCCATGTTTTTCTCTCTCTGGTAAAAGTTCCACAACCCACAAATGCTAACCAGAACACTTTGGAAATAAGGGAAACAACTTTATAGCCAGAGTCCTGGTCAAAATTTTCATTCGAGAGTACCTAAATGTAAAAGGCAGCTTTCATCCGCATTTCAAACGACTATAGAAGATACAGAAAATGAATAAGCGCAAACCAAGTTTCACAGAAGGCATGATATGTTTCAGAAGCAAAGTGAATTGTATTATCACAGTTTTTCTTAAGCTCATATGAACACAGCAATAGGTTTTTGACATTCATAGATTCAATCATTTTTCCAAACAATTTTGTTCTCCATCATCCTATGGCAATGTAGTCGGTTTCCTTTAGTAATACGAATCTCATGCTCATCTGATTCTAGAAGGGAAATCCTAATATCAAATTCCATTTTTTAGTGTTCTCCTTAATCATTTTCATTATTCCTTGGTCTGTTTTGATTTCTATATTACGAAAAATATCAGCAAATATTACTATATACAAGAAACGAACAGCAATCTTCCGTAAAACCATACCTACACTTTTCAAATTGAAAAATGGTTCAATAAAAAAAGAAAAAAAAATCTGAACACAATAACACCAACACAGGTTTTAGACTACACCCGACTTCTTTAAAACTAACTGGAATATAAATGAAAGGACAGAAGTTCTATTACAATATCAAACTTTATTATCTTTCCCAACAAAAAGGAAAAAAAAAAATATTTTTCAAGAGTACAAAAAATAACTTGAATATCACAGAGCCAACAAGATTCTTGATGACCTTTTAGCCTTATTGAAACACAGCTTCAATAAATACCAGAATACATGGTATTCTGCAGATTCTCTTATTGTTGCAAAGAATAAGTTAAATTGGGCTGTTACCCTCATACTTTATACATTGGTCTATTTACTTTGAAAACCCTACCAACTGATTAATACTGGTTATAATGGAAAAAAAATATACATCATATTCACAACTCCAAAACAAGGTCCTCAGAGGTGACAAACCCCTTGCGGATAATGCATCAAAATGCAATATTGGAGTAACCGAAGTAAACTGTCACTCCTGATAAACCCTGATTTGATACATTGTATAAGAAAAAATAATAATAAAATATCAAAATAAAGATCATACAGATGATGATGATGATGAAAATACAAATAATAATAATAACAAAAATATTATTTATAATAATAACTATAATACTTATAATTATAATAATTATAATAATATAATAAATAAGAAATAATAATAATTATATAATAATATAATTGAAATAATAATAATAATTATAAATAATTATAATAAATAATAATAATAATAATAATAAAATAATAATATTAATAATAATAATTAATAAAACTATCATAATAATAATACAATAATAATAATAATAATAATAATAATAATAATAATAATAATAATAATAATATGATAATAACAATGATATTATCGATATTATCGTTATTATTATCATTATTAATGATAATAATGATAATGATAATGGTGGTAATGAAAATAACAATAATAATAATAATAAAAAATAATAATAATAATAAAATAATAATAATAATAATAACAATATAAAATATATTAACAATAATAATAACAATAACAATAATGCTAATGATAACAACAATAAGTATGATGATAATAATAATAAAAATAATAATAATAATAATAATAATAATAATAATAATAATAATAATAATAATAATAATAAAACAATGAAATAATAATAAAAATAATAATAATAAAAATAATAATAATAATAATAATAATAATAATAATAATAATAAAAACATCATCATCACTAATAGACTTGGAAATAATTCAACCTTCCTCTAAACAAACATCTAGCTCAATGTGTGCGTCGGTGGCGTAGCTGCACATCGCATAACGTGCTTCTTCATATTGCTTCGGTCATTTGATCTTCTGCCACAACGAGGACAAATATAATTTTTGACACCGGTGTGCACAATTACGTGTCTGCGGAAGTTGCTCCGGTCATTGGTCCCATAGTTACAGAAGGGGCAACGAAACTTAGCTACAGCTGAGGGCGAGTGTGTGGCACAGTGCACAAGCCACTGAGCCTGCCAAGCGA